GCTTTTAAAATGTCATACCATTAACAATACAAAAACAGATTTTTACAATCCTGTCCAACACAACTTTGGTTCCTGATGTTTTTGTCCTTTTTGATCTTCCTATACATTTACACTCGAACTTCAGGCTAGGACTTACCTTTTGACCATCTGCGGGTTGTAGAGGAAGATTTTCATGAAGCTTTTTTCTCTCATATGGTATCCATAGAAAGGCCTGTGAAGAGATCAGATGTTCAGATATCTTTGGTGGTCCACAAAGTGAAACCTATGCTTATTTGTTGAGAGAGAGCGAGTTTGAACCAATCTGGGCATGGAGGAGGGACAATGCATCATGTCTGGTTTGTCCGGAGACACAAGCCACGAGCGTTCCTCAGTCAAATCAGCATTGTCAAAATGTGATGATGTAACCACACTGATTCTGGAGCCTCTGAAGGTCCGTGAATGTAATGTTTTACAGTGATTGAAAGCTGACATTCTCTTCTTTATGCCATTTTTTGTATTGTACAGATTGGATCAGTAGGTCAAAAGCTATTAAACATTTAAAACAGAACTTATTTTTAGCCGCGGGAGCTGTTTTGGACTTTAAGGGTTAAAAATTCATGTGTATTTTCAGCCCATTATACATATCTATTATTTTAACATTTTTATAGGGGTTTTTCACCTTTTTATAATAGTTTTATAACTGCAACATTTTAGAACTGCTTTTCATAATAATTTTACAACTGCAAATTAATAAATAATCAAATTTTCAATGAATTTCCGCTTTCTGAGTGTTCTTTTTATGAATGAATTATGTAAAGCACTGTCCATGCGTGTTTCCTCGTTGATTAGTAACGCTATATTTCATTGCACTACAATTAATGTAATCTGGCCGTTTTGGCTTAAGAAATCACGTTTTAATTTGTTATTATTAGATTATTAAGGGTTTTTCACCTTTATTTGGAAAGGACAGTAGAGGTTGCAGACAGGAATGTATTGGGAGCAGAGAGAGAGGGAAAGGGTTGGCAAAGGACCTCGAGCTGGGAATCGAACTCGGGTCACTGTGAGCAGCATGGTGTTATATGTCAGCACTTATGTTCAGAATATTTGACCAAGCAAGTGGTACCAGTCGGTGCTTGTAAAATTTCTAAATTCCTGGAAGCCCTCGAGCAGGCATACTTCAGTTTTTGGTAGCCCAAATAGAAAATACATTACTTAAAAAAATAAAAATAAATAAATTATATATATATA